GATCAGAAAGTAATCGATTTCATTCTTTGTCTTCATGTTCGGTGCGATCCCAGTCCATCTCCTGTTGGCCTTCTTTTGGAACCAGGTGTTACCAATGAACATTCTCCTCATCTCTGCCAATATAGCTAGTCGTTCTCCTTGCGCGTTTCGGGCCATAAGCTGACCTGCAAAAGGATGAGAACCCCTATTGGTGCAGCAGGTTTAGTTGGTGCAGGCAGCTGCACTTTACCTCTGCACTTTGCCAACTGGGTTGCTGCATTTGTCCCTATTACTTCAGTGTCAGCAAATTCCAAATATTTAAGCCTGTAAAGGTAAATCACAAAATGTGTCTTTCACATGAGATTCCTCACTGAAATGTAAATCATAAGCCCTGTAGAAACCTTTCCTTTAGATTATATATCACTGATTCAGAGCAATCTGGATCATTTGGTAAACAGGATGCATGCAAACAATATTAACTATGTTTTAATATGGGTAAATGTATATATCTAGGAACAAAGAATGTAGGCCATTCCTACAGGATGGGGGACTCTATCCTGGGAAGCAATAACTCTGAAAGATTTTGGGGTTGTGGTGGATAATCTGCTGAATATGAGCTCCCAGCTCAGTGCTGTGGCCAAAAGAGCTAATGTGATCCTCGGATGCATAAACAAGGGAATCTTGAGTAAGAGTAGAGAGGTTATTCTATTTCTATATTGTGTGACTGCTGCTGGAATACTGTGTCCACAATTCAGGAGGATGTTGATAAACTGGAGGGGGTTCAGAGAAGAGCCATGAGAATGATTAAAGGATTAGAAAACTTGCCTTCTAGTGAAATATTCAAAGTGCTCAATCTATTTAATTTAACAGAGAGAAAGTTAAGGGATGATTTAATTACAGTCTATAAGTGTCCACATGGGGAACAAATATTTAATAATGGGCTCTTCAGTCTAGCAGAGGAATGTATAACTTAATCCAGTAGCTGGAAATTTGAAGCTAGACAAATTCAGACTGGAAATAAGGCATACATTTTTAATAGACTAATTAAGCACTGGAACAATTTACCAAGAGTTGTGGGAGATGCTCCATCACTGACAATTTTAAAATCAAGATTGGATGCTTTTCTAAAAAAATTATGCTTTAGGAATTAATTTGGAGAACTTCTATGGCTTGTGCTATATAGGAGGTCTGCCTAGATGATCACAATGCTTTTGGCCTCCAAAAACTATGAATATAAAGGACTCAACAGAGGGCAAGACCATCCCAACCTCTGATGTGAGTGTGCAGTTGCAGGGAAGGAAATGGATAAGTAGTTTTTTATCCTTTACTGCCAACACAGACTGCGTGAAGGTCAAGAAGAATCACAGCCCCTCAGCTAATTGATCGTCTATTCAGAGACTCTCAAAAGTCTGAAAACCATGAATCCAGAGTCTATCTTTAGGAAACATTGTGAATCCTTCCTCTTGGAGGAAGTCTTTCCACCATAAGTGATGCTCACAGTATGAACATTCTGTTAACCCTGAGTCCCTAACAATCAAAAGAAAAAAATACCAACCCCAATCAGAGTTTTGACATGAAAAAGGGAGAAGTGACAGACTCCATGAAGTCTGCTAGGGATTTCACTGTTGATATTGATTTTATGAGAAAGGCACTCAGAAGCACATAGGTTTCAATGGGATTTCAATGGGAATTAAGATTTTCAAAAGTGCCTAATTCAGGGGTTCTCAAACTGGGGGTCGGGACCCCTCACGGGCTCGTGAGCTGTCAGCCTCCACCCCAAACCCCGCTTTGACTTCAGCATTTATAATGGTGTTAAATATATAAAGTGTTTTTAAGTTATATGGGGGGGGGGTCGCACTCAGAGGCTTGCTATGTGAAAGGGGTCACTAGTACAAAAGTTTGAGAACCACTGGAAATTAATAGGAGATAAGCACCTATGTATGTCTGAAAATCCCATTTTTGCCTGTCTGCATCTTTAGGCACCTTTAAAAATCTGGCCTTCATATACTATCATAATGGACAGCAGTACATCTAAGATGCTAAAACCAGAAAAGATCATTATAATCTTCTAGCCTGACCTCTTGCATGAAAATTTGGAGAGTGAGCTTTTGGCTCAATTTATGATGATTGATTTTTGCCCCCCCGCCCCCCAAAAAAACCCCTCACCCCTTTTCATGGGATGTGAATTGTGTTTCCTGGCCCAGCTCTAGTCAGTATCATTATTGCCATTATACAAATGGGGAAATGGAGGCACAGAGCAGGGAAGTGACTTGCCCAAGGTTGTCCAGCAGGCCAGAGCAGAAATAGAGCCTGGGTCTCCTAACTCCCTGTCCTGGGCTCTAGCTACTAGGCCATACTACCCAGTAAATATTAGAGTGCTTGGAGCCTTGGATGGGATTCTTTTTTAATATATTGTAAAAAAATCTAAATAAGTAAATGAATAAAATATTAATAATAAAGATTGCCCACACATTATGCATACCAGTCAACAAATCTGTCCATTAATTTGACTATAAAGACCAATCAAATTCAGTCTTCAATTATAGGTAACTAAGCTGGACACGGGGAAAAAATATCCACCACCACCACCACCACATTGTATATATAGCCCATCTTTCCAGCCTGATCTCATTAAGTGACACGCTAGCCCTGTGGGGTAGGTACGGGATGGAGAGGGATCGCGTCGCCCATGTCAAGTGGGGAATGCAGCAGCTCTTTAACAGCAAACAGAAGTACTAGACATGTTCCAAACAATATGTCCCCAGATGAAACTACAGGAGGAACTTATTTCAGCAGCCTACAATGAGCTGCATAGGAAAGTGGTCAGTCTAACAGGGTTAACACCCCCATTTTTTTTTACCAAAAGTGCCATATGATATTTAAAGGCCTGGGTTTCAGTTTTGTGTCTCATCCGAACAATGCAGCTCCAGCAGCACTGTGCCCCATGCTGGAGCATTGGTTCAGTACCGACTCAAAGGGAAGAGTGCCACTTCCCTCTGGAAACAAAACAAACAGCTGTGCACCAGAGGGGGGGCAAGCTAGGGCAGAGGTGCACTTTGTACCACCCTCAGCATGGGGCCCCTCCTTTGATCTCCTCTTAACATCCCCCCACCCCCGACCCCCCCAGCATGCTTTGTGCCAGTTTGAATGCTTGTAGACGAGTTCAGACTTTTTGCTGAGACCTGATGTTTTTTTGCTTTGCGCTTTTCTTGAGAGGCTTTTTTCCTTTGACGTTGGTTTTAGAAACCCGGCTTCTCAGCTGGGTTCTCCTGATTCAGTGTTGATGGGCCAGCTATGTCTGTAGTAAGCAGACTCATGGCTGTAAGGAGGAGGATGTTCTGAAGTCTGTTGGCCCCTGGAATACTATCTCAGAACTCCCTAAGGCCAAATTGGCTAGGACAATATCCATTCTCTGGTCTCCCCTTAACCCATTCTCTGCTTGTCCTTACCCAATGCAGTTACACACACACACACACACACACTATCCATCCATTCTGCACCCTACACCACCCCACCCATACATTTTTTCCAATCAATTTTGTTTTGCTCCCAGCAACGTCAACTGTCTGCTGTGGCTCCCCACAAATTAATCAGTTCAGCTCTGTCCTGACTCCCTCCTGTGCCATTCAACCATCTATTCTGTGCTCCCTTTCCCCAGTCAGTTCATATCTGCAGCTGTGATTAATCTCTTCTAGAATTGTCCTAAATTCTATCTTTTCTTTCCCTCCCTTACTGGTTCTAGCTATATTTTTTCATTTCTGTGCTTCCGGCCTCCAAATTCCTGATAACTGGCCTGGGAATCAGGAAATGGGAGAAGGCGGGGAGCAGTAGGATGCATTGGGACTTGTTGGGTAGGACTGCAGGCTGGGAGAAAACAGAGTAACCTTTTTCTCATTCATGCTCTCCACCTTCCAACTGCAATGTGGAACACCTGTATTTCATTGTGTTGTCAGCATAATTTGCAAATTATAATGGTTTTTAACTATAAAAGCCTATTTTTAAAGGATTTTCTTTTCACTCTGAGTGAAATCATTTGCCAAAGAAAGAAAACCTGGAAAAATAAATTGTCACATGAAACCGAGAAGTCCTCCACACACTGTGCTGCAGCATCCACTGGGGGGCACAATAGTGGTGCATTCTCAGGACCAGCATGCGAATTGTACCCTGTGGCAGTGGGTTGTGGACTGGATGTGGAATGGCCCTCTAGCTAGGCCCAGAATGATCCTAGTGGGCAACTGTCAGCAGCTCACTCAGTGCCTGCTCCCAGCAAACCTCTCCTGTTTCCCCCAGTGATTTACCAGAGTTTGGAACAATTACGTATGGCTAGCGGTGTTGTCTCAACAACAAGTAGGAGCAATAGTTGTGAACAAAAAGTGTATCTAAGTCTTAGAAAGCTGCCACTTGCCTTAGATGACCACATCAGCTTTGCAGTTAGCTCTGGTCAGTTTTTAAAGCACTGGGAAACGCTGGGGTAATGGTACCACGTCATTTCTGTATTTAAAGCATTGCACAGATAAACACGTCACTCTTCATGCACCCCTGGGTAAGTATGATCATCGCCCCCACTTTACACATGGGGAAGAGGGCAGAGCACTGCAGTGACTTACCCACAGCCCCTTAGTGAGTCAGACCTGCCAATTCCCAACTCTGTGAAAAGTCCTTCACACCACAGAGAAGTGCTGTTTGGCCAAGGTAAAAAAGGCAGGTGAGTATATACCACCACAGTAATTCCCTAGTCATTTTGGTCAGCATAGGGGAGTGGGCGGAACCACAGCTCCTCCCCTTGCATACTCCTTTTTCCTCCCTTCCCTTCTCACTCACTCAAAGTAGAGTGGGTATCGGGTAAGTAGTGGGCAAGCTAAGAAAGTCAATGAGATCAAATAGGTATAACTGGAGGGCAAAACTGGACCCCACGTGCAGTGGGAATATGTACATATCCCTAAGCCAATGGGCACAGTACTTTTATTCTTATATGATTGTTTGTCCACAGTTAATATATGTATCATTTAAATCCCTGGTAGACTGAGAAGACAGCAGGAACAGAGTGGGCCGACGTCTAGTTTGGACAGGAGAGCATCCCTTCAAACACATGGAAAACTTCAGGATGGACGCAACAACAACCTACTGGGACATGGGTGCACAAAAGGCTGCAGCAGCTAGTTAGACACGCATCTTGTTGCACAGTTTAACACCGAAAGGGTCCGTGAAAGCTCGTTTCTGTGCACAGCTTGATATTTCACCTCCCCCCCCAGGAAAACTGACTCCTACAAAAAGTGCAATCCCATTGCTGAGTACAAAGATACAAAGCACACAGATTGGGAGCTCAATTTACACAGATGACACTGTTTCTCTTTAGACTGTGCTACCAGAAAAATGACCATCAGCAGCAAAATAAAAGGGGTTTCTATGTTGACCCTCCTTTTGTAACATCTTCAAAATCCTGGAACAAAACTTGAAAGAATTCATTTGGACATAGTCTCCAAGGTTGGCAGGTTTCTGGTTACCTGTAAGATACAGTTCTGTCTGGGCCAGCGTTGTCCTTAAAATCTTACATTATCAAATGTTAAAGGAAATACTCTGCCGTCTCTGTTAATTAAAACAAAAATTGGAATATGGAATTTTGTGAGACTGCTAAACACAGCCCAAACATTTGCCATCAAGGTCATAATGTATGTATACAATGTAAATATATTAATGTAGTGTGAAATAGACCAAATATCTAATACTTTCATTTAACTACCCGAAATGAGTTGAAAGATTCGTAGCATGAATGTATTTACATTGTTCTTTAACTTTATGCATTCTGTTAGATAGTAGAAGACCTGATCCTGGTCTCATTAAAGTCAATGAGAGGTTTGTTGTTGATTTTAGTGGAAGCAGAATCAGACACATGGATAGTGTATTATTATGAAGGTGAAAGATCATAGGCTGCGCAAGTGAGAACTCAAAATCTGAGAACTAAAATTGTTAGAAATTTGCTCATGTTCCTAACATTTAGAGAGAAAGATGTTGTTATAAACTGTGAAAAAGTAATGTGTCTGTTTCCAGTGATCTGTTCTGGTTAAGAATTGTCTTGGATAGGGAAAAATACATCCACTTACTTAGGAGTAACACTGATACAAAATACTTTTTTTAAAAAAAATTATGGACACCTCCATATATTTATAGTATTTTCATAATTTGGTACATCCACATTTTGTTAATAAATGCATAATTGTTCTGTGTTGTTCTTTTGATATTTTTTAAGATCAACATCTGTAAGCAAATCTTCATTTTCAACTTTAAAAAAAAATAAATTAGACTTTTTGGAAGCGATAATAAGCATATTTTATTTAAAGTATTCTATTTTTATTGTATTGATTATAGCTTAATTTTTTTACACAAATCCTATTTGTTTTTTATAATTGAATCTATTTTTAGATTTGGTTGCACATTATGTATAATTTTTGGCATAAAACAGTCATAATTTAGATCCTTGCAGCTTACAAGTCTAGTGTAGTGAAATAGAATGATTTTAGATCTATCATCTGAAAATGATGTTGTTAATTGCTTAGCTGTGGCATAGCCTGGAATAAATACAAGATCAAGACAAGGAGCAGAGTTTTTCTGGGCCCATAGAGGGCAACTTTCATTGTCCAAAATAAACCTTTTTGCTTATACTTTTTTAGAATGACCTTGTTCTTGCTGAAAGTTTGTTTCTCTTGGGGAAAAAGCACAGCTGGTACAATTTCATGTGGTTTCTAGAGACTTCCATATTCCTACTGTAATTTAAATGAACATACAGGAAATGGTCCTGAAAGTACCCATATGAGTGAATTTACTTCTTTGAGTAGTCTCTTCTTTGAGTAGTGAGAGACCACTCACATAAGTAAATGTTTGCAGGCTCAGCCCTATCTATGATAAATATAGGTAGTGCATGAAATACTTGTAAAGTTGAAAAGAGAATGACCAATCCAGAACAATGGCTATACACATTGTAATTATGATTGTTTTGGGTGAAATTACATTTCTGTTACCGTTGTCCATGTTCGGTCTGGTGCAACATTGGCAACATAAGGGATTCTGTGTCCATGGAATAAAATGTAAGGAAAGTAATGATCCACTCTGGAATTTCTTTATAGCAAAATTTCTTCAATAACCAGTCGTATCATAAACTGAGGATTTCTCCTGAAGGTGGAATTTAGTTAGCAGCAGGAGCATATGGTCTGGTCCTGCAGGGTGCTAAGACCTCAGTTCCCATTATAGTCAGCTGGAGGCAAGGTGGCCTGACACCTCACAGTCTGTTGCCATGTGTTTGGTGTCCTGACACCTCAGGGTTGCCAGATGTCCAGTTTTCGAGTGGAACACCTGGTCGAAAAGGGACTCCGTTAAAAGTCTGGTCAGCAGCACTGCAAGGCTAAGGCAGGCTAGTCCCTACCTGTCCTGGCACCACACTGCACCCCTGAAGTGGCCAGCGGGTCTGGCTCCTAGGCGGGAGGACCACAGGGCTCTGCACACTGCCCCCACTCCGAGCACTGGCTCCACGCTCTTATTGGCCAGGAACTGAGGCCAATGGGAGCTGGGGGAGGGAGGGTGCCTGTGGATGAGAGCAGTGTGAGGAGCCTCCTGGCCCCCCTGCCTAGGAGCCAGACCTGCTGGCTGCTTCCAGGGCACAGCGCAGTGCCAGGACAAGCAGGGAGCCTGCCTTAGTCCCACTGCGCCACTGACCAGGAGCTGCCTGAGGTAACCCCAACCCCTTGCCCCAGCCCTGAGCCCCCCAAACCCTGCGCCCCCTCCTGTACCCTAAACCCCTCATCCCCAGAGCCCATACCCCCTCCCACACTCCAACGCCCTGCCTCAATCCGCAGCCCCCCTCCCACATTCCGAATCTCTCAGCCCCACTCCCTAGCCTGGAGCACCCTCCTGCACCCCAAGCCCCTCATCCCCAGAGCCTGCACCCCCAGTTAGAGCCCTCCACCCTCCCACCCACCAACCCCCTACCCCAGCCCAGTGAAAGTGAGTGTGGGTGGGGGACAGCGAGCCACCAAGGGAGGGGGAATGTAGTGGGGGGGGGCGTGCCAGGGGCGGGGCTAGGGTGTTCAGTTTTACGCAATTAGAAAGTTGGCACCCTTACTCACAGAAGGTACTCAGCCCCCTCATGGACTGGTTCTCCAGTGTGCAGTTCTGCTCTAAAAGGCAACTCTTAAAACTGGCATTTTGGGTTCCATGCTTAGTGCCGCTCCATTTTTGAGGCAAATGTGTTCACTTTGCATGAAAGATCATGGACCTAGTATTCACCCTTCCCTGGATCTGAGTGTCATCCCCTTCCGCGCTCCCCTCCCCCATTCATTGCGAATTGACAGTCTAGCTAGTTTCTTACCATCCTGAACATCAGCATCACCACCAAAGCTTCTGCAAATCAAATTATGCCTTCAGTTATTCCTGTGGAACCCCACTGAGTTCCAGCAATGACATTAATGACACCTGTGCAAAATCACGACCATCCCATGATTGTACAGGTGTAGCTGATTGGCCTGTAATTGTGATGATGACGCACAAGAAAGTAAGGAACCCAGCTGCCTCTTCTGTAGTAGTATCGACATCAGTTGATAAGAGCAGTAACAAACTCATTTCCATCAGTACAGATAAGACCTACCCCCAGGCAAAGCTGAGGAGGTATTTGGTATAGTCACTTTGGAGATCACATACACACTTTGGACCCAATCCAACTCCTCTTGAAGTCAATTGGCTGGTTTTAATAGGAGTGGGCTTAGGCCATATAACTGATTTCCAGATAGATAGTAAAAGGTTAAAGAGAAAATAAAGAGTTAATTTAACTTGTAAATGTGCTTTATATCTCCTTGAAGTCAATACACCTTTGTTTAGCAGCAGAAATGGGACCAGGAAAAGAGGCCAGGGGCAAACTGCAGCCAAGTCGTGGATGATTATTCCAAAACACAAGGATGATATGGGGAGGTCAAAGGAAGGAAGAAATAAAACTGAAAGGGGCTCCTCGGGGCTCATTCATCCTTTATAACGTTACCATCCCGCATGATCTCAGATCACTGGGCTTGTCTTGTTTACTCAAGTCAGAGCAATACTTTATTTCAAAGGTAAAATATTTGGGTCACAATTTTGTTCTGAGCAGATGTGTGTGTGTGTGGGGGGGGCTAAACAGTTTGCTGTTAGCAGAGGTGGGAATTATTTTTTTTATTACCACATTTTACTGCAGTGGCACTTGATTTTGTAAAATTACAGTACTGAAGATGCACAGTCCCACAATCTCTCCATGGTAAAATATGCTGATATTGCCTTCTGTTCAATTTTCTCTTTCTATCTTGTATATTAAATAGTAGCACATTACCTTAAATGTTTAATTACTAACTGTCTTAAACTTCAAATGGCTCTTGTCATCTGCAATCATGACAAAAATGATTAATGGACTATTTCCAGGGTTTTGGTAATGGATCCTAGCACACTATGGGCAAGTACCTCAAAGAATTATATAATCCAGAGTATGTCAAAGGCAGCAATCCAGCTAGCCAATTAATTTAGCTTTTTTCTGGTTGCAGAATGTGTATAATCACAATTGTTAATGTCCTTGTTATTCAACATTATTTATATATTTTGGACTCTGACTTAATAGCCAATAGCAGCCTGTGACTCTTTGAGCTGCATTGGTGAGTTATTAGTGGCTAGATAAGGCACATGGCATTGTTGCCACGACCTGGTTGGATAAGTGCACAAGTACTTCTAGTGTGAAAGTTTGTGCACGCCAATGTAAATTTGGTGTCAAATTTTTGCACAGCCAATTTAAGAGCATTTGTGCCAGGAAAAATCAATTGTGTGGCTGCACGTAGAAAGCAAACACAACGGAGCATAGAAAACGTGAATTCAGTTAGAGCCAGTCAGCAACCCTGGCAACACTCCTATTCAGGGGAGCAATAGAGCAGAAGGCACCCTTTTCATTCACCTGCATAGGCTACTTCTATAGTAGATAGCAGCTTCTGCAGGCTGCTACTCCCCATACCATGCAGGGAGGAGGGGAGTGGGCATGAACTGGATGTACGCAGAGCCTTGGCTCCAGTCCCCCAACATGCTAGCCAGTACATCTGAGCCTGCGCAGCAGGGCAAGTCATCTGCTCAACAGTCCTACAATTCTATGATATAGGAATGAAACAGATGACATTCCCTACAGAGCAATCACAATCTGGTACCAGGTGTGATCCTGAGGCAGCACAACTTTGTGCAGCTCCTTGCTCAAGGCTTGTAGCAAAGCCATGATTTAGCTCTTAAAATCTGACTACATATCCATGCAAATCTTTTTGTGGAATGTACTCTTCATATGAGCCTCTGTGAGAGACTGACCTGATTTTTAAACAAGTACTTTGCAATTAGTCTTCTTCTGGCGGGCATAGTGTTAGCTAAATAATAACTATGCTCTTATGCAAATTGTGATTAATCATCTTTGCTTCCATAGCAGTTGTGTTCCTTCTATTTTACTGATTGGATCAACTTTTTTTTTTTTTGGCCAGCAGGAAAAAAATGTTTTGATATTTTTAGCAATCATTTAGTAATGCAAATTAGGTTGTTATAATCATGTTTATGAGAAAACACACTCTACAATCAGGACTTTAATAGCGCCTGATATTAGTTATGCTCTGTATGGTAATGAACTTGGCTCAGTTCATTTTTTTTATTTTTAATTTGCAAGGACGAATATGTCTAATCAATTACTGCATTTTTACAAAATAGCTAAGTAGTCATCACAAGTCCTTTCAGAGAGTCAAATGTAATATTCTGAAAACAGAAAGTTTCTATTGTTCAGAGATTTTATTTAAAAAAAATAATAAAGAACCATGTAGAGGTCCCAGGACATACATGGTGTTTAACATCCCTTTGCAGAAAACAGGCCTAATGACAGAGCCACTCCACAAGCCCAACCTTGGAAAGACGTGCACACGAATAAGTGAACTCAGATAAGCAGTCCCTACTGCCTGGAACAGAATTACTCACATGAATATATTTATTCACAGGCATAAGTGTTTTCAGGTTTAGGCCCAGTCTGGCACTTGAGGTCTGGAAAAATGTGTATGTGTTTTGGGCTTGGGCAGAGATTTCACTTGAAAAGGTTTATTGTTTTTATTGTAGACAATTTTGTGCTCTTGAAATTTTGCAGCGGCATTTATTTTTTTTACATGAAGTTCCTGCATAGAAGAATCCTATAGAGTTTTATTAACAATTATAACTTCTCTTAAACCAGCAAATAGAATTCCAGAGCAGGGATTTCATTCGCCTGTCAATGTTTTGAGCGTAATTTCTATAGAGCCTTTTAATATTTGTTTGTATTGCCCCAATTAGGGACTCGTTATACCAAAGACAAAAGCCAGTTACTGCCTCAAGGAACTTACACTCTAAACTTTTGAGATGTAACGTAAAGGTAGAGAGAAGCAAATGGGGCAAAGGTTTGTTAGAGAAGCAGCTAACAGTGAAATCATATTAGGTATAATAGGTGGCAGTTATATACAAATGTCTTATTGATTTCCTCTCTGTTAAATCACACACACACCTTATTGAGTTCCTCTCTGACCACCCCCACACACACCCCACCCAGTCACTCATTCACCCACACACCCCAACTTTCACTTGAAATTTCAGGGTATGTGCGTAGCAGAATAGAGAGGGTAGAAGAGAAGAGTATTATTCTACTGGCTTCTGCTGCTGCTGCCCTTCCTCTGGTCTAACTTGGGCCCACTGGAACACTGTGATTAGTAGCAAATCTCAGCAGCTGCGTGATGGAATGAACAGGGGAGGTGAATAAAGTTTAGATGACAAAATATATGCACAGAGAATAGTATCTTCCTCTCAGCATCCCTCAGCGTGCATTAGCAATACCAAAGCTGCTGAGTTTTAACCACAGTCTTTGGAAGGTGTTTGCTTACTGCTGGAGAAAGAAGTGAAAGGAAAGCTGGAGTTTTGTCTCCAGCTTTGCTTCCAGTCACCCCCTCCCCCCCCGCAGTCTTGCCCCTGGCTCCACTTCCTCACCTGCTGACTATGGCAGTGGTGTGGGAGAGCAGATTACTGACCCGTCACTCTT